AAAACCTTTAGATCGGCAGGGCACGGCACGCGGAGCTCGAACGCGTTATCTGAGTCACCAGCCATCATATGACTAGCCACCAGGTTCCATCCTATACGTCGTAGCGTCATCCAGCAGGCCCCCATCGGGCCCCTCGTCGAAGCCAAAGACATCGCACCGACCTGGTCTCTGTGTGCCTCCCAAGCCCAATGCAAACGACCATCCGAAATACGCCCATCCCAGACCCACTCAGCAAACTTTAGAACAATGGCGAGTGCGGCATGATAGATGGGGTAATAGAACTAACTCATTCTTGTGGCTGATCAGATAGGCTGCGACACTGGTGTTCGACCTGCCTGGCGCGCCATTCAAGGCGGCAGCAAAAAGACGCAGCTCGCGAAGCGCAACACCACTACCTCCATGCGACACTGAAGGAAGGGCGCCCGCGCGCCACAGTGCAATCAAGTCCTTGCCGACTGCAGTCTTGAGCATCGATCAGTGTGCCTTGCGCTCTCGGAGGCGCTTGAGGCGTTGCTGCTCCGTGCCTCTGATGATCCTGGGGCCCATGAGCTCGTGACCAAAATTCCTCATGTGCCCTTTTGTACGGGATCTTCATGGAGCCCATGTGGAACTGCAACCCCTTCCAGAACTTCCGAGAACCAACGACTTCGACGCCTTCAAGACCATGCCGGGCCCCTTCGAGTCCTGGATGAAACCTCTAGCCGCTAGCGCCAGAAACCGGGCCTCCACGTGGTTTCCGGAGGTACTCTGGAGCCCAATGTCACCCATGAGCGTTCTCGGGGCAACAATAGGAGACACCTTGGAGACCCGCTGGACCGACTTATAAGGGAGTAAATGCAACATATATGCGGCGTGTGTGCGCCCCGCCAGGATCCCTTGGACAGACCAGTGAGCCGTGGAAACTCTCCCAATGGCCTTAATCCTACGGGGTTGTTGGTAGCTCTGAATCAGTGGCCACAGCAATCGCAGCAGGAAGCCCAACTCTTGGCCCTCTCGAAGCAGTGCATGCGGATCTAACATATCATAGCATTTACTCCTGTCCAGTAAAATGTTTCATGTGTGTTCTCCGAGCAACTGTGCGACCTCCTGTTGGATATTCTGATCGAAAGCCGAGTCGCTGGACGCGTGAGCTGCTCTCGTGCCCCACGTCTGGTCGCACTTGTAGCTGGCCTGCCACTCTGCCGAGACTGGCCTCCTGAAGTTGACCTAGAATCTAATCATCGCATGGGACAGCACGATAAGCCGTGAATCGCCATCAGGTTTGGGCAGCCGAACCATCTCACTCTAGACTCGCTCAGGAGGCCAAGACAGCCACTTCTCAAACAACAAAAACATGAAAAAATCGGGCGATGCGCCCCAACGCCTGACCCGGAAGAGAATTCAGGCACATAACTGAAAAACGGCTCGGCCCCGAAGCCGTTCGCGTCGAAAAAGCACGGATCGCTGCTCTTGCCTGGTGGTGATCCAGCACAGTCAAGTCAGGCCAACCCTCATGGCCAGGAGGCAGAACTGGAGACTGCAGTTCGTAATGCCACCGCACCTTCTCCCAGGAGTCCAATGTGTGATTGGCCAACGCGCACGGCTGGGCGTTCACGTCGAAGTTGACCTGCTCCTGCTCATCCCGCACATCGGAGGCCCTCTGGCCAGCGCGCCTGACTGGCGCCGCCCTGGAAAGCCCTCTTGGCCCGAACTGGGAGACTTCATCACAGCGTCGGCCTTGGCGGTAATGTTGCCCAGGCCTGGGTCGAAGTCAGCGCCCGGCATCGCCCCGAGGCCCCTCTGTAGAAACTCTGAGGTGTCCACGTCCAGGTGGTGACAAGTCTTCTTGTCACCGAGGATCTTGCAGCGGCGCCTGTCAACCGTCCGAAAGCCCGCGGCACCTTGGCATGCTGTAGCGGTGTCAGCTGGCCAACCGCGGAAGCCAACTGCAGCCGCTGACAGGACCGTCCTAGGCGATCTCGCTCAGACCTGAGATGCTGAAACCACCTGCGTGCAGTCGCCCAGGCGTAGACTTCTAGTTCCCGCTGCTTGCCGCGCCGCGGGTGCTCGCATGCCGGCAACTCCCATCTGAACTGCGGCGCGACTGGACGACCGAAAGGGATAGCGTCCTTGCAGACCTGGCCATCGCGACCGGTCAACCCAGCGCCCACCCCGTCTAGCTCAGCGCCCGAATACCGCGCCAGATCTGAAGCACTTTGAAATTCAGCAAACGTGGCCCACCTGGGCCCATGGGCAAAGGAAGCGCGCGCAACCGCATGGGGGAATCACAGGGAACGCTCGAGGCTCGTCGGGTACAAGACACCACGCTGGCCTGTCACTCCTCAGAAGACTGATGCTGCCAAGGTAGTTCGGCGGAAAATTTCGCCGAAAGTGTCAGGCGCCTCAGCTGCTCCAAGCCTCGCGCACGCGATGAAGTAGTCGATCTGCGAGTGTCTCTCGTCGGTGAAGCACGTGGCCGTAGGAGGAGAATGCGACAAACCGCTGATGCTCGTTCCATCTCCTGGCATTCATCGCTGAAGTATCCGAATGCCAGACCCCTGCTAGAAACGGATCGTGGCCCAGGGCACTCCATGATGCAACTCGCTGCGCCATCGCCCACAAGATGGAAAGGCTCCGGCCAGCAATGCCGATACTCGTCACCATTACTCGCCAACAGCTATTACACCTCCTGGCACTCCCCAGCTGACACAGCTGGCCACCACTCCGCCTGGGTAGGCAATGGGGTCTCCGTCGGGCGGCTCCGTGATCATCACATCGGCGGGAACCAGCATGGCGACCCTATAGCGGTTGGCCTGTGCACCAGCAGCGCCCGCGGCTAGCGCAGAGGCCCACGTGCCGTGGCAGCCTATGCCCTTCGCCCGATGCTGAAACCATCCGAGGCGTACCGCCACGACCCGCGTCTCCTGCGCGCAAGCGATCTTGGCCCTCACCGCCGCCAGGACGTCGATCATGGGGCCGAACGCACTGGAACCGACCGCCACAATAGTGCCTGCGATGGCAGGGGGGGGGGGGGGGGGAGGATTTGCCCCCGAAATCGCCCGTCCTAGGTGCGCCAAGCCCAACGCTCTCGCCACTGCGCCCGAGATTTGCGCATTCACCCACGGGTGCCGAGGGAGGCGATGGCGACGACGCTGCATCATGCGATCCTAACGCAAACGATCTCGAGGCATCTGGCAAAACATGAGCGACGCTGAACCTGGACGCAGTCGCGCCAGGATGTTCTGAAATAGCACCGCCAATCTGATATACAGAAGCCGCGCTCAGCGACGCACACGTTGCACGGGGTTCCGCCTCAGCTCTGCTCGGCCAGCCGAGTGAGCGGCGCCGAGGCTGGCCAACGCGTGCCAGTCGGACTCTCATCCAACAAAAACACTTGCCCCTGATGCTGAGACGCACTCTGTGAGGCACTCATTGCACGGGGTCCCTTCCCAGGGCTCTGCTCCGCAGGCGGATCGCGCGCCTGACGGGAACCGTCCAGGGGCCCCTCGCCTTGTGGAGTGAGACGTGCTGAGGGTAGCCAACTCGTGCCAATGGGCGCATCACCCCAAAACCCATGAGCCGTTGGAGCTGAGCGCATCACTGAACTCGCGGGCGTGGCCGACGACGTTGACGCAGAAACTGCAGCCCCGCTTCCAGGGACTCATCTTGAACCGAAGCCATGGATGCTACCGGACAAACGCAAAATCAAATGACCGGGGGCAACTTACTTAGTAGTCCGAGCCCTCCGGCGAGCTTCGACGTCGGATGTCTGAAACCTCTTGGGACATTATGTGGCGCCTTCCTCGGGCCCAGAGGCCTCCATCTGAATGCGTGGTACCTCGAGGGTCGCGCGCATGTCTGCATTGCCCGCGTCAAGGCCAGGGGGCCCCTCGGCAGCGGCACCTTGGGAAAACCCATCAGGTGGCGCCTGTTGCTGAGGCGGAGGTGGAGGATGTGCCTGCGGTGCGGCTTGGAGCTTCTTGACCGTATCCGCCATGGCTTGAAGCCCAACAGTGAGATCAACACCCAAGCCCAAAGAGCTGGCGACTCGTCCCAATTGCTCGACCGACACGGCGAACCCAGGAAACAACTCGTGGAGGGTGGGCGGCTTCGACGCGTCTGGCGGACGAACTTGCGACATAGCCGTGCGCGTCTCCTCCTCCAGCCTGACCACCTCCAACGTAGCAGCTCCCAGCTTCGACTCCGTACGATCCAGGTGCTCCTGCAGCTATCGGATCATGGCTTGCGGATCGTCGACTGATTTGCGCATGCTGGACTCGTGCGCTCGAGCCTGCTGGGGCTTGGATGCCAAGGAACGAGCTTGGTCCTCGATAGGGCGCCCGTCAAACAGCTCTCGCTCCAAGCACTCCTTCTCTGACTTGAAAGTGGCCAACACAGCCGCATCCTTCCCTGGCGAGAGAACACGCATGATGCCCTCCAATTCCTTGAAACGCTTGCGCTTTCCGTCCGCCCCTTGAACTTCCCCTTGGGCCAGGATCAGCATCACGGTCAGCAGGAGCAGGCTGGCGCATGCGACGGAGCTCGGCTTGAAGCTCCGCCACCTGCTTGGCCAGGTCCTTCTGTTTGGTGGAGGTGGACGGCGGCTCACCTCCGGCAGGCTTCTTGGCCCCCCCGTAGCGGATGCCCTCGTGGAGCTTGCGCTGCTTGCAGGTGAAAGCGTCCGCGGTGTTGAACCACGGCTTGCCATCTCTTGGATTGTAGAAGTCTTGCACACCCAAGCCTGCCCGTTTTGTCGACGGGAAGGCGCCAGGAGGGCGTCGTGACTGCTATGTGAAGATCTGCTCCGACATGAGCTCACACAAATGCGACAAAAAGGCTTGCAACAACAAGTAGCAGTTCGGAAGGTCTGCTGTTACAAAACTCACCTGAGCGCGAAACGGCTAGAAGGTGGAGGAGGAGGAGGAGGAGGAGAAGGAGGAAGAGGAGGAGGAGGAAGAGGAGGAGGAGGAGGCGGACAGAGGACAGAGAACGACGACCGCGACCCCCAGCTTCAGGGGTGCCTGGCGGAACTGCGGCGAGGGCGACGCCTGCGGCACGGGGGACGGCGCCGGGCGGTACTGCGGCGAGGCCGACGCGTGGCGACAACGCGGCGAGGCAGGCGAGGGGGAGGAGACCAGGAGGAGGCAGGGGAGGCCAGGAGAAGGAAGGGGAGGCGAGGGGGGCGAAGGCCAGGAGAAGGCAGGCGAAGGGAGCGAAGGCCAGGAGGAGGCAGGGGGAGGAGGGGGAGAAGACTGCGGTCGGCCCGCATCGTGGGGATGACCACATGTTCAGTGTTGCCCCCGCATCCTTGCCCCTTCGGCCAATATTTAGCGACTTTCGCTGGCCACTCACGTGGCCCTCCGAGGCCTTTGCGTCCTTACCGCGCACCTTTACTATACTGGTGACTGTAGGATGGGAGGGGAAGAGAGGGTGGGGAGAGGAAGAGGAGGACGAGCAGGATGGCGGAGGCATGAAGGGAAAGAAGGATGGGGAGGTGCGGGCGCGGCCCGCAAAACGTGCGGACCAGAGAAAGAGAGGACACGGTAGGGGATACGTTTGAGCACGCCGCAAGTGTCTGATGGCAAAGTGTGACTCCCTTCTCTTTGGGGATGGAGAACCTTGCAAATCCTGTGGAGGTGGAGGGAGGTGAAGGGGGATGGAGAGTAGAACAATAAACAACTACATAAGCATACGCTGTTGGCGATCCGCGCGGATTTCTTGGATCTGCGCTAGACCCCCCATCCCTGGCCGCGTGTCGAGGAGTTTGCCCGGCAGCGGGGCAAAGAGAACAGCTGCATGCCGCAGTTCTCGGAGTGCCCCCATCCCCTTTCCCCAGAGCCCCCCCCCACCCCTCGTCCGCTCCGTCAGTTCGGGGGAGGAGGGGTCGTCTTCGCTGATGAGGCAGCGCGCGCTGCAGGAGCAGGGCGCTGCAACGTGCGCTGCGTGGCCCAAGGTGGGCCTCAGAATCCGGACCGCGGCCCGACCAGGGGAGGGGGCAGACGAGGAAGGCCCCAAGGAGGCGCGGAGGTCGTCGTCGGACGGAGGCATGCGCGCAGGGGTGCGCTCTGTGAGCGCAGTGTCCACAAGAAGCCTTCCACCAAAAAGCCCGACACTGAGACCCCAGGACCATCCATGGACTTGGCATGAGGGATCGTCACGCTTCCCGTCGCAGAACCGTCGAAACCTCAGAAGCCCAGGGCACCCTGGAGGCGAGCGGGGTGTCCCTTGGCATGGGCCTCCACTGAAAATGCCTGCGGACGAGGGCCCCTGGCACGGGCAGGTCAGGCAGCAGACGTCCTCAAAGACTCGCCATCGCTCGCACGTCCATTCCCTGTGTTTTTTGTCGGTTTCGTGCGTGGAATGTTCTCCAAATGATCAAGGATGCTCCTCGATGGTCCTCGCGGAAAGAAAAATGCACACGTCCGAGCGATGCCAAGAAGACGGAGGGGGCCTCGAAGGCCCGATGGGGCGTGAAGGGAGAAGATTCGAGCCGATGACCTCAGAGCCCTGCTCTGTCGTTTTGGCGAGACGAGATGTACCGGAGAGTTAAAAAAGCGCGAGCTGCCGGAGCTCAGCATGCGCACCACCACGCCTCCGAGCCGAGATGGTGAGCAGACGCTGCGGGCCTAGGTGGCGCAGCGCCTCCAGCTGTTGGAGTTGTAAGACGGGCGGCTGGCGGCGTGGTTGGGTAGGGAGAAGGAGGGGAGGAACGAGGGAAGGTGATAATGTTTCGTATTCGGGGGACAGTGTCTCTGTCCTGTCGCGCCGTTACCCGCGTCAAACCTGAGTCGATTCCACGTCGAATCCACGTTGAATGTCGAATCCCCGTCGGCCCCATGTCGAATCCGTGTCGAGTCCACGTCGACTTTGCGTCGAATCCACTCAAAGCCCGCGTCAGACGCAAAGGACAGCAACTTACAGGACAGACAAGGCCAACCGAAGATGCAACGCGAGGATGAGGGAAATGCCCCCACCTCCTCCTCTCCTCCTTCGGCTCGGACGAAAGGAAGGTCCAGTGGTGATTCTTAGGTCGGGCACCTCCTCCTGCAGGCGAATGGTGGACGAAAGATGAAAACTAGTCAGACCTATGCCCAAAGAGTCAAGCCTAGTTTTAAACATACCGTCCCCCAACTATGCTTTCTGAGGGACACTAGGGCTCCCAACTTCGCGCTTCGCGCTCCGCGAAGCGCGAATAACTTCGCGCCCTCGCGCCGCCCCCCCAAAGGGAGAAAAGGAGGACGAGGAGGAGGGGGAGAAGGAACGAGGACCGCGAAGCGCGAATAACTTCGCGCCCTCATGGGAGCCCTTGGGGACAGGCCCGACTCAAGGTTAGCACATATAAAAAGGGGGAGGGTGCGAATCGGCCCGCGCAGCTCACGCTCCCGGCGCCTCTCCCGGCGACGGAGGCACCGGCAGTCGTATCGAAGAGAGCGCCCCGCGGCGGGGCCGAGACCAGCTGGGAGGGCAACAAAGGACGTACGCGCCCAGCTATGTACATGAACACGGCCCCTCGACTCGCGAGACCGGCCGCGTTATACGAACATTTGTACAATGCGTGCTCTCGAAACCAGCGTGGATTCATGTACATGTACGTCCTTCTTTCGCTCCTGAAGCTGGGAGGGCAAACAAAGGAGGGCGGGGGGGAGGACGAGGCGATCCCTCCACCTCCTCCTCTCCCCCTCTTGCCTACTCCGAGGTTCGTGATACGTGCTGTGGATGTTTTGACTGCTGCTGTGTATGGTTTCGACTGCAGGGGGACGCGCCCGACCTGATCATTGCACTCCGAGTTTCATAAGAAGCGTCGGGGGGGCGTCACCCCCGCCGACAGCCCCGCATCGACAGATCCTCCTGAGAAATCAGCTAATTACCAGCCCTGTCCAAGGACACAGCATGACAAAAGATTCGATGGGGATCCAGCCGTGGCGACGAGAACGATGCAGGGGGCGCCAGAAAAGCGCAATGCCTCGGACAGCCTCGACCCTCTATCCTCCCTCCTCCTCCCTCGGTGACAACTCATGGGAGCCTCCTATACCATCTTGTTGGCTCTCGTGACTCGACTCTGTTCGGCGCTGGCAGACGCAAAACCGACGCTAGTCGACGCCAGTGCACTCGGAAAACAGGAACTACCAGGGCATTCCCATGACTTGCTTCCCGATCATCCCTCCGTCGTCGCCGTCGTCGCTGCCGTCGCCGTCGTCGACGTCGTCGACGCCACCGCCACCGAGGCCGTCGACGTCGCGCTCGTCGCCAGCTGCGCTGCCGCCGCCGCCGTCGGCCGCCGCTGCCCCGCCTGCAGCACGGCCGCGGCCGGGCCCGCGCCGGCCGCGTCCCGGGCCGCGGAGGGCGCGCTGGGCGGCGCTGGAGCGACCGAGGAGCCTGCGGGGGGCGGTCAATCGGGAGGCAACTCCTGGGAGGTCCTCGTCACAACGATTTCACGGCAGCCTCGGCCTGGGCACTTTTTCGATGACACCGCGCGGATCGTGGGCCCGGGGGCCCTTCAGGGCACCCGGGGCGTGAGGAAGCGGCCCGAGGAGGAGGCGCCGGCCCTGGGAAAGGTTCCGAGATCCCCGACGGCATATGTTGTTCACGAGCGCACACCCCGGAGGTCTCGACGCAATCCCCGTGGGACCAACTTTTCACCCTGCGTGGTTTTGAAGGCTCCGACGCCCGGCGAGGGCCTGAAGAGGCCGAACAACATAAATTATCCCGGCAAAGCAACCTAACAGCGATGTGTAGGAGCATATCTGGAAGATTTCCCCTTAAGATTCAGATGAGAATCCAGTTGTAGAATTCTGCTGTTCTCGCAGTCGTAGTCGCATTCGCGATGACAGTCGCAGTGGCAACGGCAGTCGCAGTCACAGCCTCAGCCTCAGCCTGCCTCAGCCTCAGCCTCAGCCTGCCTCAGCCTCAGCCTGCCTCAGCCTCAGCCTCAGGCCTGCTTCAGCCTCAGCCTCAGTCTGCCTTCAGCCTCGGCCTCAGCCTCAGCCTGCCTCAGCCTCAGCCTGCATCAGCCTCAGCCTCAGCCTCAGACTGCCTCAGCATCAGCCTGCCTCAGCCTCAGCCTCAGCCTGCCTCAGCCTCAGCCTCAGTCTGCTTCAGCCTCAGCCTCAGTCTGCCTTCAGCCTCGGCCTCGGCCTCAGCCTGCCTCAGCCTCAGCCTGCCTCGGCCGCAGCATCAGCCTGCCTCAGCAGTCAAAGCATTCAAAATTGCCCAGGAATGCAGTTCTGGGAACTAGAAGAACACGAAGTGGCCTACAGTTGGCTCCGGGCATTCAAAATCATGCCCAGGAATGGAGTTCTGGGAATGGAAGAGCACGAAGTGGCCTACAGTTGGCTCCGGGCATTCAACATGTGGCCCGGGAATGGAGTTCTGGCAACTCGAAGAGCACGAAGTGGCCTACAGTTGGCTCCGGGCATTCCAAATGTGGCCCGGGAATGGAGTTCTGGCAACTCGAAGAGCACGAAGTGGCCTACAGTTGGCTCCGGGCATCCAAAATGTGTCCCGGGAATGGAGTTCTGGGAACTCGAAGACCACGAAGTGGCCTACAGTTGGCTCCGGGCATCCAAAATGTACGCCGGGAATGGAGTTCTGGGAACTCGAAGACCACGAAGTGGCCTACAGCTGGCTCCGGGCATCCAAAATGTACGTCGGGAATGGAGTTCTAGCAGCGCCAAGAGCGATTTTGTGAGGATGTCCCAGGCGATTTGGGCTTAGACGGCAGCCGCCCCGGGTCCCGCCCCGACCCCCCTGAGGAGTCATGATGTTCTCTTTTGAAACCACTAGAAACCTATCAGCAAAAGCTGTTAGGTAAAAAACATTCAGTCCAGGACTCGCCATCGCTCGGACGTCCATTCCCTGTGTTTTTTTCGGTGCCGTGCGTGTTTTTTCGCCAAATGATCAAGGATGCTCCTCGATGGTCCTCGCCGAAAGAAAAATGCACACGTCCGAGCGATGCCAAGAGGACCGTCTCCCTCAGAACCCCGTTCCTTCATGGCGGCCGAGGTTAGAGCAAGGGACATCGACTCCTGCACCACCACCACCACCGCAAGGAGCCAGGTGGTGGGTGCCCCCCCCCGCTTCGCGGCGTCCGACGCGAGACATCTCCCTTCCGCAGCTCGGGGAGACATCCAGGCCTCGGAAGAAAATAGCGAACACTCATGCCACATTCATCTGTGAACGCCTCCCCCTCCCCCCAATGTTCAAAGTTGGCGGTGGGTCTGAAGAGTTGCACCTCGACCGCAGTCTCCCCCGCGCGTGCCAACCTTGAGTTTGGGGGGCAGGGGGGGGTGTTCACTAATTGTCTCCCTCTGCCGTCGTGCACCTCCCTCTGGTCGTGCTGCCACAGGGAGCGCAGACTACGGAGACGAAGGGGCGGCTGCCTGCTCACGGCGGGCCTCGGCCACGAGCAGGTTCCCCTGCGCGGATTTGAGGAGGGGCCCGGAGCCCAGAGCCCCTCCTGGGCCTCCAGTGGCCCGATGTCAGCGTCTCGGGTGTAGACTGCTTTAGCGGGAGAAAAAGGATGTTACATAAACTTTTCCGTCGCCGGGGGCGCTGCCCCAGGGGGGCTGGAAAGTTTATACTTCGACGTGCCACCGTAAGGGTAAAACTTCCCAGCCGCCCTAGGGCATGCGCTCCCCACAGCGAAACAGTTTATGTCATACCGTTATTCGCCCGTTAACTGTTGGCGGTCCGCGCGGATCTCTCCGATCGATGCTAGATCTCCATCGGTGGCACGCAGGGCGCGCTCCTGAGATGCCGCCACGCTGGAGTTGGCTCGCTGGTGGTGGTAGCAGGGACGCCTAACTTCGCGCTTCGCGCTGCGCGAACAACTTCGCGCTCTCGCGCCGTCCCCCAATGGGAGAAGAGGAGGATGAGGAAGAATCGGTGCCGAATCGCGAAGCGTGAAACGCGAATATCTTCGCGCCCTCGAGGGCTCCCTTGTGATCGAGTCGGTCCTCCTCCCTCCTAGGGTCGGGTCGGACGAATGGTGTGCGAGGCGGGAATACGTCCAAGGAAGGCCTGAAGAATCGAGCTTCGAGGGCCGCCTCTGCAGTCGGGGGATACGGAAATATGTTTGCCCTCCAGGGCAGGAATATGTCCTCCTCCGCCGCCCGCACGGGCCCCCGAAGCTCGCTCCCCTGGGCAGTGGTTACGAACAAACCCCCGCCTGAGACAAGGTGGGCAATAATAGAACAAGAAAAAACGGCACAAACACACAAACTGTTGGCACTCCGCGCGGATTTCTTGGATCGGCGCCTGGGCCCCCCAGCGGCGCCTCCGGCGCCGCCTGGGTCCAGCGCAGATCCAAGAAATCCGCGCGGAGCTCCGAAAGTTTATGCTTATGTCGCTTTTTTTTTTCTTCGAAATGAGCTCACGTGGCCGATTTCCCCATCGCCTCCCACGCTAGGAGGCGCCCCATGCATCGAGAGAAGCGCACGGAGGAGGCCACGAGGCCAGTGGCGCGCCGCAGCGCTCGTCCCCCCCCTCCCAAACGCAGAACACAACCACCACTGCCCGCAACAAGGGTTAATCACAAGAATGGTGGCAGGCTCATGCCGGATGACGCTGCGGCCCCGCGGCGAAACATCGCTCCTCTTCGTAACCAAGACTGTATACACCACCACCGCGCGTGTTTCGACGAAGTGTGATTCGGCCCTGAAGGAAGTGGGGGCAGCCCGGTTGCCGTTGGCGGCGGGGAGGGGGGCTGCTGGTCCTTCACCGCTGCAGAACTGCGCCAAATCGGATCGTGGACGTTGTCCCAATCTTGGTGGTGGTGGTCATACCATGCCCTCGGAATATACGCCGGGTCAATGCAACCCTGGCTTTGCAGGAGCCCGCAACGTCCCGCGCTCTGGATGACCACCGGTTGCCTCGGCCCCCGTTGCAGGGCTCCCGCTTTGAGATGCCCCGTCGAGGGCCAGCGCCGCCGCGGACGCCGGCATACGCGCTGCCGTGGCCGGCCAGGTACCCCGCGCCGCCTCGTCGCCACGACGTCTCTCTCTCTCTCTGCATCTCTCCATTTCTCCCTGCTCCCTCTTCCCTCCTCCCTCCCTCCAACGCTCCATCCTCCATATCTCCATATCCTCCATATCCTCCCTTCTCCTTGCTTCCTCTCCCCGCCTCCTTTCCCTCCCTCCCTCCCTCCTTCATCCATCCTCTGTCTTCGTCATACTTCCTCCTCGTCCCCCTCAAACGGCTCCTCCTCGGAACAGTCAGGAATGGGCCCATCATACGCTTCATGTGCGAAAGCGAACGACAAAGCCTCCTCCTCTTCCTCATCATCCTCCCCCACGGCGTTGCCGTGTGACGGAACAACATAATACATAGTGTTTCCGCCCCTCTATGTTGACACCTGACGAACGTAGAATATAAGTTTGTCCGCCACCTGCATTGCCACAAACCGAATTGAATATAATAGTGTTTTTGCCTGCCATCTAAGCGATTCCCTGTGACAGGGAAAGCAACATCATATTTGGTTACCCCGTTGCGACGTGACAACTTCAAAAAAAGACTTGTATTTCCTCCCACCACCACTGCATCGCCCCGTGATGCCCCATGATTACTCATCATCCTCCCCCTGTACCTTATCCACCCCTTCTTCCTCATTCCCTTCATCATCCTCACCCTCCTTGTCGTCGCTCTGCTGTTGTCGTCGCCGTTTCCGTTGTTGTCTGCGTTGTCGTTCTCGTTGTCGCCATCAATGCCGTCGTCGTTCTCGTGGCCGTCGTCCTGCTATTCGTCCTCCGCGTAGTCGGTATCGTGATCGACGTCCTAGTCGTCGTATTCGTCGCCCTCGGCAACGTGGTGTTCGCCGTCGTCGTGCTCGTCCTCGTGTCAGTCGTCCGTGCCGTCGACGATGTCATCGTTGTCAATGTCGTCCTCATCATCGTCTTGTCGGCCTCGCCGTCGTCGTTGCAGGTGTCGTCTTCGTGCCATTCGTCGTCGTCCTCGTTGTCGTCGTCGTCGTCGTGAGCGTCATCGTCCTCATCGTCGTGAGCGTCGTCGTCCCTGTCGTCATCGTGATGGTGGTGGTGGTCGTCGTCGTCGTCAAACGCGTAGTCGTCACCGACGTTGCCGCCACCGTCGTCTTCGTCGTCGTTCTCCTCCCCAACCCCGGCGTCGTCGTCGGCGTCGAGCAAGAGAACCAACTTTGCTTGTCTGGCTCCGCCCATGGTGCCGGGAAAGGGTGGACCAGAACACGTCGTGTGTTGTGCCCTAAGGAGGAGGAGGGACCGCCTGTGATGAAACCGCGGTCGAGGATGTGGTTGATTGGGGCAACGCAAGATTGAGGGCCTCCAGGCCCGCGCTCAACAAGCGTCGTAGTACGAGAAGGGCGTCTTCTTCCACCTTCCACCTTCCGCAATCTAGCAAGGCGATGCTTGGAAGATCTTGCGCGGCCAGCCGCCCCTCCAGCAAGCTCATCAGCACATTCGTTCCCCATCGCATAAGAGTTCGGGGACCTTGTCTTCGCAACGGGGGTACCTTTCGAATCCATATGAGAGATGACTTTCAAGATGGCGATCTGTGACGTACCGCGACCATAATCCAGATTTTGAGTCTCAGACGGCTGTGTTACGGGGAAGCTGGTCACACTAAGGGCTGGTGACACAACGGACAGAGTGGCTAGAGTAGAGGAAAATGCGCTCGCGCTGGCCTGCGAACATAAAAAACAAAGGCAACCCGCGGCCCGAACGCAAAAACATAGAGACCTCATGGTAGCCCCAAAGAGCCCCCAACCGGCCCGACGGCGATCTCCGCAAAAGGCGAACCGAAACGGAGGTGGATGGGGCTGGCCCAACACATGGAACAAAACATAGGCGTCGAACAAATCCTGCGGGGCTCCGCTCGGGCCGATGGCCAAAAACACAAAGGGCTGCCCAAAAGCAAACAAACGCAAGGGCCGCGTGGCCAACAGGAGGCGGCCCTCGCCCAAACAACAAAAAAGAGCAGGGCGCCCCGCAAACATAAAACAAAGATCGCGTCGCGGCCTCGGCCACCGCGCCCGAGCCGCGGACTAGAAAACACAGAAGGCTGGCGCAGCGGGAGTAGAAAAGCCTGGCCGCCGCCGCGCAAGACAGCGCCGACGGCCGCAAGCGATTTGGGCGGCCTGCCTAGGCCAAACGAGGAATCACAAGCGGACGGGAACACAAAGATGGTTGCAAGGCTTTGGCGGGCGCGCGCGGGGCCCTTGGAATGAAACGCAAGCGGATGGTTACAAAGATGAATTTCACTAGCCCGTTTCATTTTCGGTGCGGCCCGACCAGAAAAAAACATAACCGGAAGCCTGGAGCATGCAACACAACCGGGCCAGGCCCGCATATGTGCTTCCAGCCTCCCCGCAGTCGCCCCCAAAGTTTGGCCGTGCAGCTCGAGGTGCTGTCTGCAACGTGAGTGGAAGAGGCCCAGACGAGGAAGTGAGAGCCTGCGGGAGCCCATAGAGATCACCAGGGGAACTGTTTGCTTCCTTCCAAGGAGGAGCCAGGAGAGCCCAGAATCGAATCGACAAGTCGGATCGGTGATCGAAATGGCTCGGATCGGCGGAAATCGGCAGCCGAGTCGGGAAAAGTCGAATCGGCGGAAATCGGCAGCCTAGTAGGCCTTCGTTAGGAAATCTGTGCCAAAATCGGAATACGAAATCGGATCGAATCGGAATCGGAAATCATCGAAATCGAATCGAATCGACTCGGAGGAATCGAAATTAGCCCTGAGGAGCCCATATACAAACGCGCGGATGGCATCCAACACGACAACATCCACTCACGACGTGCCCACGCCTCTCCCGCAGCGCACGCACTGAGGCGGCGGCGGCAAAAGGCGAAGTGAATCCTTCGGGCGCGCCCCCCCCCCCCCCCCCATGGGTTCGGGGGCCCCCAGGGCAGGAGAGCCCAGAATCGAATCGACAAGTCGGATCGGCGATCGAAATGAATCGGATCGGCGGAAATCGGCAGCCGAGTCGGGAAAAGTCGAATCGGCGGAAATCGGCAGCCTAGTCGGCCTTCGTTAGGAAATCTGAGCCAAAATCGGAATCCGAAATCGGATCGAATCGGAATCGGAAATCATCGAAATCGAATCGAATCGAATCGGAGGAATCGAAATTGGCCCTGCCAGGGCCCTCGAGAGCGCGAGAGGCATCCAAAGGGCCTCCCAAGAGGGCCCCAAGAGGCAGAACGTGCTGATGTTCCTTTGGTGTTTGAAAGATTTTGGCGTTCCCGCCTTTTCGGCTTTCCGACGCTCTTCCCCCCTCTTCCCATCCTCCGTGCCTCCTTTGCCTCCAACATGGCTGCGAACGTCGTCACGTCGTCCTTCCACGGCTCCAGAGGCGACAGTCTACAACGTGCAATTGCTGCGCTGGTGCCCCCCGCGCGCCACGTGGAGGCGAAGAGGCAACAACTCGGAAGCCTGAAGCGCACGGGGGCGCGGCTCTCGAGCCGAAGTGGCCCGAGGAGGAGGGCGAGACGGAGGAGGATGGGAGAGGAGGGCGAGGAAGAGGAAGAGAAACGGGAGGGAGGAGGAGCCGAAAGACGGGGGGGCAGGATCCCCCCTCTCCAAACTTCCCTGAGGGGCAGCAGTAGGGGGGGGGACTGGCTCAGGTGGGGGGACATCGCCCTGAGTCGGCGATACATCGCAGATGCATCGACGATCGACGCCCGATAGCGCATCCGCTCGCCCCTGGGCGCGGCAGGCAATCGGGCTGCATCGGCGATCAATGGGCGATTTGGGGACGATGCGTCCGCCGACTCCCCCTCACGTTGCCCCTGGGTCCTCTGGCTTTCGGGCCAGATCTCGGCTCTCTGGCAACCCTTCGGGGCGCTCGGGGCACCTCCCGGACGCGGCGCTCCCGGTCCGGCGCGTGCCGCACGAAGACGCCCCGAGGCAGGAGAGCCGCCGGACACCGACGACGGACGGTCCAAGCAAAACCTCGGACCTCGAAGCTTCGCCCCCTCCCGAGCCTACCCCCCCCTCCTGCGAGAACGTCGTCTTTTGGGCGTTGCGTAATGGAGGGGTCATAAATGGGGGGGTGGCGAGGGTGGTCCGAAAAGGTACCCAAACGGTACCTAAACGAGCCCCTTGGGGGTCCGGTGGGGCTCGAAAGGGGCACGAAAGGGGACCGTTTCTGACCCCCCCATTTATGACCCCCCCATGAAGCCAGGCCCAAGTCTTTCTGCCGGCCCCGCGCGCCGGGTGGACCTCGACGAGCCTACCCCTCACCCCTTCGAAAACTTAGAAGGGGTCGGAGTAGATGGGGTCGGAGAACCGCGCCGCCTCGCCGACGCATCGGCGATGCGGCAGCGGTGCTCCGGCGATGCGTCGCCAACGCCGGCACTACATCGACGACGCCGACGTGCAGCACATCGAGCTCCACATCGAGCCGCATCGGCGATCCTCCAGCCCCATTTACTCTGGCCCCATCTCGCCGTCGCTCGGACGTCCATTTCCCGTGCATTTGTCGGTTCTGTGCGTGTTTTGTTTTGCTCGATGGTCCTCGATGGTTCCCGTGCATTTGCTCGATGGTCCAGGATGGCCCCCGATGGCTCTCGCCGAGAGAAAAAAAACACACCTCCGAGCGATGCCAAACCATCTATAGGAGGCCCTCGTCCTCCCTGCCGGCCCCACGCGCCCGGTGCAGCGTGCCCCGCGCCTCCGTCCGGGAGCGGGCCGGGGGGGCCCAGCTGCCGGGTGCCGAGCACCACCGCGGAGCGGACCAGCCGCTGCTCCACCTCGCGCTGCGCGGCCCTTCGTGCGCCGGCGGCGCGCAGGGGGGGGGGGCAGGGGGAGGGGGGAAGGCTTCTCAGGAGGAGGCTGACTCTCAGAGGGCTCGGGCCTTACATCTGCAGACAGGGCCTGCGCCTTGTAAGAAGCGGGGGGCCCTTCCAAGAAGCCTTCAGCCCTCCCCCTTACACCCCTCTGCGCGAGGCCGGGCTCATCCGGGCGACGCCTCACCCTCTGCTAACTCTGGCCACTTCTCCTCCTCCTCCTCCTCCTCCTCCTCCTCCTCCTCCTCCTCCTCATCCTCGGCAACTTTCGCCGCTCTTTGCCTCGGGGGGCCGCCGCCTGGCCCCCAGGCAGCAAAGAGACACACACTCGGGAGGAGACCCCGGTCCTGGGGAGAGGTTCGGAGCTTCTGGGGGGGCCATCGTCTCCCCCGCGTGACCGCCTGACCCTCGCCAGCCTCCCACAGCTCCACGCCGCCTCGTTCTCGTTCAACGTCTGCTCTGGGCAGCCACGCGTGAGAGCCCTGGACCCGTGCAGGTCAGAACCCTGCGAGGCCTGCCGGGGTCCAGAACGCGTCGTTTGGACCCGCACGGGTACGGCTCGCACGTGAGGAGAAAGGGGAAGAACACCAAGCAGGGAAGACGAGAAAAGATGGTGACGTCATCCTGCTCCTCCTCCTCCTCCTCCTCCTCCTCCTCCTCCTCCTCTTCCTCCTCCTCCTCCTCCTCCTCCTCCTCCTCCTCCTCCTCCTCCTCCCCCTCCTCCTCCTCCTCTTCCTGCTTATCGTCCTTTTCTTGTCTCGGCGCTGATCCCCCTGGCGGCGCTTGTGGTGCTGCTCCTGGTGCGCTCCGCGCGCCGAGGAGGGAGGTCGAACGCGGATCTAAAAAAAATATGCGCACGGACCTCCGAGAGCTGATGTTTAGGTATTGTTGATTGTTGCTCGGCCCTCCTCGTCCTGCTCGGCCGAAAGTTGCGACAGCACTGATATATTCCACCTGAATGGCAGGTCGAAGGGGCGCTAGCCAGACAAGGACTGCCTTTCCCGCAATAGAAACGAATGCCCGCGGGGACTCATGCAACGATCTGGGACGGGTGGTCGTGTTGCCGCATCGCTGATGCATCCTGAGTTTACTCTGGATTTCCTCTCCTCCTCCGCCTCCTCCTCCTGTTGTTTTCCTCCTCGGCAGCGCCACGCGATGCTATCGCCCCAGAAGGGGGCGAACGCCGATGCGCGACGCGGGTCCCAGCGGCAGCCTCAGGTGGGACGTTGAGCCTCCTCCTTCCCCTCGTCCTCGTCTCTACGGGGGCACTGGGCTCAATGTCAGAAGTATCTTCTTCACCAATGGCCTTATCATTTTTGGATTTGGCATGCCTGGCAGAACCCCCACAATTACTGGAATCGTCTTTGCGTGGAGAGGTTTCGTCCTGATTTGGCCCTGGAGGCTTACAACAAATCCCGACATCTTGTCCTTCGGCGTCTGATCCTATGAAAACAAGCCGACCACGCGTCGTAACGGCGCCAGCGTGCCTTGATACATGGGCAGTTCGGTCAAGCCCGCGGAGAGTCGTAACAGAGCTGGCGCGCCCCGCATCGGAATCATCTGGGCAACGCCAAGCCGCCTGCTCGTGAGCCCGTCCGCGCGTCCCCAATTCATTTTCCGGGACCTGCCAAAGGCGGAAACCAGGTACCTCAGTCGTCCCCATGTGCCCGCGGCGTTTTCGGGCAGAGTTCGGTACCTTGGGTTCCAAGTCGAATCAAGTGAACAACACATCGGTTGCAGATCGCAACCGTCGACAAGACGATCTTTTGCGAGGGGGTACTTTTGAGGTGAGGGGTCCTGTTTCGGAGGCGAGGCTGCCTGCGCTTGCTCATGACACCGTCAAACATATGTTGAAAGGCGTTGCAAAAAACGCCTGTCGAATCTTCGTTAATAAACCTAGAACGCACAAGGTTCGCTAAATATTGACTTCCTGTTTAAAACAATGGAATTCCTCGCGAAAGACTCCGGAAACCATCCGGGCAGGGCTCTGGAGGCTTACCGGGAGATTTCGGGGGGGTCTGGGAAGGGTTTCCGTAATTTTGCGGGGGACACCAGTCCCTAGCAAGCCCTGGGCTCTCGAACTCCAGACCCCGAGCCAGGCCGAAAAGGCGTGGAAGGCGTCGGTGGGGGGGTCCCCTAGCTCTAAGCGGGCTTGCTGCTGTGGACGGCCAGCGCCACCAGCCCCCGACGGGCTTAGGTCGGGCATGTCCTCCTATAGGCGGGTTTTGGGAGAAACATGAACATGGCTGTATACGTGTTTACACATATATATATATATATACACATCTAGATATGCGCGGGCGGGCGCCCATGTCGGCGCCCCTGTGTTTTTCTCAACGTCATCATCTGAATGGCTCACTTAACATGTCACGCCTCCTCGCGTGGTGCATATGTATATGTACACACATTTACAGATTGAATCATAATTCGGAGTATCTCTACGCACGCGCCAATCTCCCCATAGACCAAGCAAAGCAAAACTTGAGCGCGCATGCTTGTCATATTCCCGCGCGCTGACTCAGAGCATGCGCTAGCGACTCAGGCGCCCCCCCCACCAAATTGAACTGCCGACGCCCAGTGAAATCACTCCGGCGCGGCCCCAGCCCCCGCCTGCCGCGGCGAATCCCAACATCACGTCCGCCATCGTGTCCCTAGCGTTCACGCAGTATGCGTGCTCGTGCATGTCCAGATCGGAGATGTTGAAAAAGCTGTATCGGACGCGCGACGAAGCCGTTTTTCCCGCTCTCAATGCCATTGGAATACTGCCCGGTCTCCACGTCGCGCCACCCGACCTCGTGGACCACAGGGGGCGCGTGTCTGAAAACCAAGTCCTCGGCAGCCTCCGGCGAGCTGAGCCAGCCATCGAACGCCGAGATGCTCCTCTTCGCCGCGTGCTGCTCGATGGTCTTGCGGGTCCCCTCGGAACCGCGAGGCTTGCTCCTTTCCGCGTTGTAGCGGAACGGAAAGAATCGCCACGCGAAGCGTCTCTTCCCGTTGCCGTGCACCCACTTCTCCGTCCCCTCGCCGACGGAAGCTGCTGCCCGCAAGCAGCGGCCGTCGGAACCGGGATCTGCGCTCGCGCCCCGCGCTCCCCTGCGCTCGGCCGGCCGCTTCGCGATTGTCCTCTTCACCTTCATGGCGGCGGGTCGTCTATTGACGACGTTCTTCTTGCCTTTGGTTACCCCCGCGCTGTTCATCGGCTTGTCGCCCTTCCAAATAGTCCGCGCGGGGGGTGCGCCTTGGCAATGCGCGCGCGGACCTTGGGCCGCGACAGCGTGCCGGAACGGACTCGAGGAGCCCCTTTGCGAACCCCTCGCGGGCGAAAGACTCGAGGCCATCGCCGGGGTGGGCGCCGACGACTGATCGTCCATGGCGATCGCGTGGTTCGGCCCGCCGGTCTTCATCAAGTCTAACTTCTCGCTGACCTTCTTCAGCGTCCTTCCACCCGCGGAAGTTCTGGTCGCTATAACTGCCCCAAGCGGCCCGCAGCTCCGCGCGCATCTTACGCAGGGGGTGTCAGCGCGCAGAAGCGCGATGAAGTTCAGAAGCGCCATCCACGACCCCACTTCCACTTCTTTCAGCATGCCGGCGCCGACTGCCGCGCGGCAGTGCTCGTGGCCATGGGACGAGCACGCCCACTTGAAGCGAAACTTGCCGTTGTCGGGGCGCCAGCATTCCTCCGGCGCAGCGGGGGCGGCGCGCACGGGGCACTTCGTCGCGACATCGACCGCGCCGTAGTGCGCAACGATGCCCATGGCCCGCGCCTTCGCGGCGTCCGTCAGCGTCTCGGGGAAGTCAACCTTGGCGTAGACAACCTCGGCGATGAAGGCAGTCCGAGTTTCGAACCACTCCTCGCGGACGGCCGTGTGCCATCGATTGAGTGGCAACGTGGAAGGGGGGAGGCGCCGACGAGGCCTGGCGCGCGTGCGAGCCGCAGCCATCGTTGCGACCTCACGCTCCGAGCACCCTCCGAGCCAGAACACCTGCGGTGCAGGCGCGCAACCAACACATAACAAATGGTGCGATGCTGTGTTTCCGAATCGTGTCTTTTCTGCGTGGCGATAACTGGAATGCGGGTTGTGGTGTGGTGTTTGTATGTTACACAAGGGTCCGCAGGGCGTTTTCTTTCTTGTTGTGCCCTGTCGTCGTCGAGCGGGCCGCGGCGTGGACCTTGTCAGAGGCCGCGCGGCGAAACGTCGCCACCCGTGGCGACTGCAGGAAAGCCTGAAACCGTTTTTTGGTTTGGTATGTTCGGTTTGCTTTCAGCTTTTTTGTTGTGCTCGGAGTCCTTCTCTGGGTTGCCCATGGCTCCAAGCAGCGGCGTTTTTTTTTTAGCGGGGCTGTGAGCCTAAAAGTTTTTGCCCGCTACACCCCCTCATCCTCCTCCCAGTTTCCTTTCTTCCTCTCCCATTGGAACGCAATGCGATTGCAACGCAATGCGATTGCAATGCAACGCGATTGCAATGCAGTGGAATGCGATGCAGAGGAGGGAGGTAGCAGGAGGAGTGAAGCGGGAGGGGGAAGGATGAGGGGAGGGGGAGTGGAAGAGGAGGGGAGAGAAGGATTGATCCCGATTCCTCGTCACTCCTCCCGTCAGTTCCTCGTCAGTCCTCCTCCAGGTCTTTTCCGAACGCGCACGGACGCCTGCGAAAAATCAACGACGTTGCAAACAAAAACGCGAAATCATTGGGACAAAAACAAAAGAAACAACAAAGCACACCAAAAAGACAGAAACCTGTGATTTCGGGAGAACTCGAAGGGAAAAGGGGGGGGGCAAGGCTCCCCCGAAATCATACTTGTTGTTGCTGTGTTTCCCATGCGTTCGCCGCTTTTTCGCGGAAAGGAGGGGAGGAGGAAGAGGAGTGAAGAACATACGTCTCGGTGCCAGGGTCTCATTCTAGGACTAAGGAAAGCAGGGGCACCCCTATGCGCGTGCACCCATCTATAGCTGTATCTGTATACATATATATATGAACATTTACACATATTCAAATACATAAAAAGAACATGATCAAAGATAGTGGACAAAAATCGTCTCCATACGATTTTCTGGACTATCTCTGCATGTTCCTCCTGTAGAGGGCCACGCCCGACTTAGCCCCAGCTCCGAGCGGCTTTGCTGCCGCGGCGCCCCACGGGGGCGGCCGCGGGGCCAGTGCGTGCCCCGCCCGCGGGCACGGCCCACGAGGAGGCTGCCAACCTTCCATGTGCTGAGGAGGAGGATGGAGAGGAGGAGGAGGAGGAGGAGGAGGAGGAGGAGGAGGAGGAGGAGGAGGTCGGAGGCCACCTGAATCCAACCTTCTGCTGCGCGCGATGTGTGACACGCTCGTGGATCCCATGCTTACTGCCTGCCTGCTTGCTCGCCTGCCTGCCTGCTTGCTTGCTTGCTCCTCCTCTCCTCTCCTCCTCCTCCTCCTCCTCCTCCTCCCCTCGGATAACCAAGCGATACCGACACCGCTACTCCCCGGACCTCTCTCGGGACGCGTTCTTGTCAGGATCCCGAGGAGAATCCAGCCGCGGCGACGAGGGCTCCAGGACGAGCTGCGATGCTGGTACCTTTCCCTCCTCGTCGCCCTCCTCATCTGAGATCCGACGATGCGAAGAAGCTGCAGCATCGCGAGACACCACGACCAGAACACTAAACCTTTTCGAGCCAGAGCGAAAATAGGCGAGAATGCCCGATGTGGAAATTTACAAGGCCCAGATATCAGGGCTCTTCTCCTCCTCCTCCTCTCCACTATTCCACTCGCCTTAATCCATGTTTGCGGTGATTCCGTGATCCTCCTCCTCCTCCTTTCCTCTCAGCCTTCTCCTTCTCCTGCCTTCCTCTCCTCCTCGTCCTCCTCCTCCTCCTCGTCCTCCTCCTCCTCGTCGTCCTCCTCCTCCTCCTCCTCCTCCTCCTCATTCTCCTCCTCCTCCGTCCCCCCCTCGACCGACAGCTTCCACCAACACCCTCCCACCTACCATGACGGCGTCACTTGCCACTGGAGGGCGCCGAGGCCCTCCCCACGGCCCCTCGGCCCACGCAAAAGGCTGCAGGGATGGATCACAACGTACCTCCACGACTCTAACCCTACTACCTGAACCGGGGGCGCGCAAACATGGATTAGCGATCCATGGATTGGCGCGCGGTCGCCAAATCCATAGATCGGGGGGAGGTGCCCTCCCCAAAATGCGGCCCGTGCCGCCTCTTTCGGCGGCGGACGTGCGCGCTTTGCGCGCTTTCCCATGGAGACAGGACCCGTCGCTCATCCACGCCCCCTTGATCCGTGTTTGCGATCGCCTGGTACCCGAAGGCCCCCACTGCCAGCATCCAGTGTTCCCCCCCCCCCCAAGGGGGCGGGCCTGACTACCTACCAGACCACCCCAACCCAACCCGAAGACCCGAATTTGACCCGAATTTCCGGTTGGGGGGGGGGGGTACGGGTTCCATGTGTTTTCTTCCATGTTCCCCGACCCCCCCCCCACTGGAAATGGAGTGCAAATTAAGGCCTTCGGGTTGGGTTGGGGTGGTTTGGTGGGTGGTGAGTGAAGGGGAACTGGGACACACAAATAAATACACACAAATAAAAATACCCCCCCATATTTTCCCATATTTTCTGGGTTTCTGTCTTCCCCCCCACTTCCCATATTTTCCCATATTTTCCTGGGAGTGGACGATTAATTGTGTCTGTGTGTTTTTTCTCCTCGTGAGTGAGGGCCCACCATGTGAGGCGAGGCAGCACGGACGTGGCAGCCGGCCGCGCGCGCCAGCGGGGCCGCGCCGCTGCGCCGGGGGGCGGCGGCGTGCTCCGTGGCGCCGAGCGGGTGCTGCGGCGTCGCCCTCGGGGCGGTGGAGTTGTGTCAAGGGGCTCAAGGACACAAGTAAATACACACAAATAAAAGGATTCCCCATATTTTCCAGTATTTTCTAGCTTTTTGTCTGCCCCCCCACTGCCCATCTTTTCCTGGGGATCAACGATTAATTGTGTCTGTGTGCTTCTTTCCCTCCTGATTGTGGCGCATCGTTCGACCGATCCCCATCCCCACCAGCGTGGGCTGGGCCCCACTGGCCGATTTAGCCCCCTGGATGGGGATGAAGGCTGCTCTCTTCGAGCTTCGAAGGGCATCACCATGACCAAGGTGGTGAGATGCTGGGGACCTGGACGGGGATAGAGAAGGGGATAGGGACCGGTTAAAAGATGCTGATGTGTGGCAACTCTTTCGATTTTGGCGGAACGGCTCAACAGTTTCGGCGGCGCTCTGTGGTTTTCGGCGGTTTTCCATAAGTTTCGACGGTGCTCTGAGGTGTCCTAGCTGTGACGACATGTTATCGAAGGTTTTCGAAGGCCGTCGGTCGTCGAAGCTGTCCAACGGTATTCAAGGGTCATGGAAAGGGGTTTAAGCGGCTTCAATAATCGACCTCTATACACCGGCGCGTTTTCCGGCCCTGCACTGAAACTCGCACAATAAAGCGAATCCTGGTGTATACGGGACCCTGGTGTACTATATGTTTCGCTGCTTCGTCGGAGAATAAAAAGTATACACCACACCACCCCGACGTCGTCCCCGACCCTGAAAAAGTCCTGGGACTGAACAACAGCGCGCCACTGGTAGTGTAAATGCTCCAGTTTCCGACAAAGGTTATCGGTTTTCAAGATGTTGTCATTATGGCATAGCTTGAAAATGTCGAAGTTTCGCGATTCATTCCGGGACATTTCGAAGCCTGGGGTGGTCTCCATCTGCGCCTTGTAGAAGGCGTTCCGGGTGTGCCCAGATTATGGAATAGCTTGAAAATGTCGAAGTTTCGCGGTTCATTCCGGGACATTTCGAAGCCTGGGGTGGTCTCCATCCGCGCCTCGTAGAAAGCGTTCCGGATGTGCCCAGATTTCCCCGAACGGCCGCCAGAAAGCCGAGCTATGACCCGAAAAGGGCGCCCCAGACACATCCTACGCATTGAGCAAAGTCGGCCTTCGGGTGCCCTCACAGGGCCCCGGGACAACCAACAACAACTCGGAACGGGAAGCTGGCTCTGTTGGGAGGGTCGAAACTTCGGGGGGGGGGGCACGTATGACAAAAATCAAACAATCGAATGTCGTGTTCGGGGGGAGGGGCAGGGTGATGACAGGAGGATGAGGACGAGGAGGAGGAGGAGAAGGAGGAGGAGGAGCGGAGGGGAAGGGAACGAGAGGGAGTGGGGAAGCAGAGGCAGAGGCGATGGAGATAAAGGGTAACATGATCCGCAGGAGCTGTGTTTTTACCCGGCGACCTCCTGTCGAACGAAAAGGCGTCGTCTGGCGCCGCCGCAGCGCTCTCAAGGACCTGCTGCGCGAGATCGTCGTCGTCGTCGTACTCCTCAACCCTCCATGTAGTTGTTTGCCCTTCTTTCGTCGCATCTTCCTTCTCACTCCCCGTCCGTCTCCCTTCTTCTCCACTCCCGTCTGTTGCGCGCACCTCCTCGTCGCAACACCAACATGTCGGCAGGACGGGCCAGACAGTTGCACAAGGCGTCCCACCGTTAGTTTCCACATTGCTTTCGGCTTGCACTTTTAAGCGTGTGCATTGGCGACGATGGGTTGGTGATCCAACTCGTGCTCTAGCTTCAATCGGTCGGCGCCCCGACCCTGGAAAGTTTGGGCGGAGCACCGGAAAGCCGAAGACGTGAAGGACAAATCCCAAACCCGGACACAGAACAGTCCAACCCTTGAAAGGGCGCTCGCGGCCCAAGCCTGGAAAACCCCGCCAAAGAATTGGAAAGCGCGGCAGGAAGAGGAGAAGGAGGAGGAAAAGGAGGAGAAGGAACACGTAGAAGAGGAAGCCCGTTGCCCGGCATGGCAAATGACGCCAAGTTCGGCGGGCCCCGACGACAGCTGCGCAGCCACAGACTCGCCGCGTGACGCCACCATCGCTGCAACCGCTCCTGCCGCTGGCGCTGCCGCCAGCCCGAACATTGAAAACGGCTGTTCACGGCAGCTCCGCGGGCCCCGCTGACGCCGAGCGGAGGGCGCGCTGGCCGCAGCAGCCGCCTGGATTGTTGTGCATCCCCCCTCCGCCCCCTTGTTGTTCATCATCTCCTCCCAGTACCCGTCCTGCTCCTCCGACATCATACGCGCATCCTGCCCATTCCGCTCCGCCCCAAGCATAAATCTGCGCGCATGTGCATGCGTGCGTGCGTGCGTGCGTGCGTGCGTGTATGTGTGTTCGCGCGCTTGGCATCATACTTGATCTCATATCAAGCAGAGACCAACAGAACACAATGAGTTTTGCATATTGCTCGATCCGCTCCAAAAGAACCCAACCTCACTGAATCAAATCGGGCACCCTGTGCACGCTATCTATTCGCGGACATCGCCCGACCTGATACGGTGATGTCCGTCGTGCTGGAAGATTCCGAGCAGACCCAAAATTACCAAATTAGGTCGGACCGCCAATGCATAAACACGCACACACACACACACACACACACACACACACACACACGCATTCGAACACATACGCCGACGCACCCAACACAGACGCAGGCAAGCTAAAGAGAGACAGGCACATGAGACTAACAGACGGGCAAAACGAAAACGGAGAGAGGGGGGGAAAGAGAGAGAGAGAGAGAGACAACAAAAAGAGAAAGCGACGGAAGTATGTAGAGAGAGGGGGAGAGAGAGAGAGAGAGAGAGACGGAGAGAAACATATACAAACAAAATAATCAGACGAGCAAGGGAGAGGCCCTAATTGGGCGATTTCCCCGCGCACCCTTCCCGCCACACAAAGCCGACGAAATCACCAAACTAAAACAGAACGGTCGGCAAACCTTACCCGCGGGGCACCGACGCGTGCGACGAGGGTGCCAACGTCGACACGGGTACGACATGCGGACCCTGCCACCAGAGCCGCCGGTGGAGCACCCTGTGGGGCCACGAAACGTGTGAGGGGTGCGCCGAACTGAGGAGGTGGAACTGCATGCGGACCCTGCCACGGAGGCCTTCGGTGAAACACCCTATGGAGCCACGAAGCGTGTGAGAAGTGCGCCAACATTGGCGTGGAACTGCATGCGGATCCTGCCACTGGAGCCTTCGGCGGAACACCCTGTGGGGCCACGAAACGTGCGAGGGGTGCGCCGAAATGGGGGTGGAACTGCATGCGGACCCTGCTACTGGGGCCTTGGGTGGAGCACCCTATGGGGCCACGAAACGTGTGAGGGGTGCGCCGACATGGGAATGGAATTGCATGCGGACCCTGCCACTGGGGCCTTGGGTGAAACACCCTACGGAGCCACGAAACGTGTGAGCGGTGCGCCGAAATGGGGGTGGAACTGCATGCAGACCCTGCCACTGGGGCCATGGGTGGAGCACCCTATGGGGCCACGAAACATGAGAGGGGTGCGCCGAGAAGGGGGTGGAACTGCATGCGGACCTTGCCACTGGGGCCTTCAGCGGAGCACACTATGGGGCCACGAAACGTGTGAGGGGTGCGCCGAAATAGAAGTGGAACTGCATGCGGACCCTGCCACTGGGGCCTTCGGCGGAGCACCCTGTGGGGCCACGAAACGTGCTAGGGGTGCGCTGACATGGGGGTGGAACTGCATGCAGACCCTGCCACCGGGGCGTTGGGTGGAGCACCCTGTGGGGCCACGAAACGTGTGAGGGGTGCGCCGAAATGGGGGTGGAACTGCGTGCGGACCCTGCCACTGGGGCCTTCGGCGCAGTACCCTATGGGGCTACGAAGCGCTGTACTGGGTGGGAGAAACGCAAGGAGGAAGGAGGAGGGGGAGGAGGGAGGGGGCAGGGCGAGGAGGAGTGAACGCGGGGCGCTCTCTTCAAAACGAGGACCCAACACCACAGGATGGTTGGGAAGCAAGAAAAGACATATAGAGACAGAGAGAGAACAAATTATCCTGGCGAAGGACCCAACCATATGCAATTGTGAATAACGCTTTGTGGGTGCCGCTTTCGGTGGGGCCCCCTTATGGGGCCACGAAAGGCGTGCCACGAAACGCTGTCCTGGGCGTACGGACGCATGAGGACGGTAGCACTGGGGCCTTCGGTGGAACTCCCTATGGGGCCACGAAACGTGTGAGGGGTGTGCCGACATGGGTGCGGCGCCGCCATGCGAACGCAGCCACTGGGGCCTTCGGTGGAGCTCCCTATGGGGCCACGAAACGTGTAAGGGGTGTGCCGAAATGGGTGCGTCGCCGCCATGCGAACGCAGCCACTGGGGCCTTCGGTGGAGCTCCTTATGGGGCCACGAAGCGTGTGAGGGGTGTGCCGAAGGGGGGGGTGGAACCGCATGCGAACGCAGCCACTGGGGCCTTCGGTGGAGCTCCCTGTGGGGCCACGAAGCGTGTGAGGGGTGTGCCGAAATGGGGGGTGGAACCGCATGCGGACGCAGCCACTGGGGCCTTCGGTGGAGGGGGCCACGCTGTGGTGCACCGCCACTGGGGCCTTCGGTGGAGCTCCCTATGGGGCCACGAAACGTGTGAGGGGTGTGCCGAAATGGGTGTGGGGACCGCATGCGGACGCAGCCACTGGGGCCTTCGGTGGAGCTCCCTATGGGGCCACGAAACGTGTGAGGGGTGTGCCGAAATGGGGGGTGGAACCGCATGCGAACGCAGCCACTGGGGCCTTCGGTGGAGCTCCCTATGGGGCCACGAAACGTGTGAGGGGTGTGCCGAATGGGGGGTGGAACCGCATGCGGACGCAGCCACTGGGGCCTTCGGTGGAGCTCCCTATGGGGCCACGAAACGTGTGAGGGGTGTGCCGAAATGGGGGGTGGAACCGCATGCGGCACGCAGCCACTGGGGCCTTCGGTGGAGCTCCCTATGGGGCCACGAAACGTGTGAGGGGTGTGCCGAAATGGGGGGTGGAACCGCATGCGGACGCAGCCACTGGGGCCTTCGGTGGAGCTCCCTATGGGGCCACGAAACGTGTGAGGGGTGTGCCGAAATGGGGGGTGGAACCGCATGCGGACGCAGCCACTGGGGCCTTAGGTGGAGCTCCCTATGGGGCCACGAAACGTGTGAGGGGTGTGCCCGAATGGGTGTGGGAGGGGGAGGAGGGGGAGGAGGGAGGAAGGAGGCAGGAACGCGGGGCACCGTCTCTTCAAAACGAGGACCCAACACCACAGGATGGTTGGGAACAAACATGACAGGGAAAAACAGCAAATTATCCCGGCGAAGGACCCAACCATATGCAATTGTGAATAACGCTTTGTGGGTGCCGCTTTCGGTGGGGGCCCTTATGGGGCCACGAAAGGCGTGCCACGAAACGCTGTCCTGGGCGTACGGACGCATGAGGACGGTAGCACTGGGGCCTTCGGTGGAGCTCCCTATGGGGCCACGAAGCGTGTGAGGGGTGTGCCGAAATGGGTGCGGCGCCGCCATGCGAACGCAGCCACTGGGGCCTTTGGTGGAGCTCCCTATGGGGCCACGAAACGTGTGAGGGGTGTGCCGAAATGGGGGGTGGAACCGCATGCGAACGCAACCACTGGGGCCTTCGGTGGAGCTCCCTATGGGGCCACGAAACGTGTGAGGGGTGTGCCGAAATGGGGGGTGGAACCGCATGCGAACGCAGCCACTGGGGCCTTCGGTGGAGCTCCCCCTGGGGCCACGAAACGTGTGAGGGGTGTGCCGAATTGGGGGGTGGAACCGCATGCGAACGCAGCCATGGGGCACGAAACGTGTGAAGGGTGTACTGGGCATCTGGGGCCTTCAGGAGGGGCCACGAAACGTGTGAGGGGTGTGCCGAAATGGGAATGGAACCGCATGCGAACGCAGCCACTGGGGCCTTCGGTGGAGCTCCCTATGGGGCCACGAAACGTGTGAGGGGTGTGCCGAAATGGGGGGTGGAACCGCATGCGGCGCAGCCACTGGGGCCTTCGGTGGAGCTCCCTATGGGGCCACGAAACGTGTGAGGGGTGTGCCGAAATGGGGGTGGAACCGCATGCGGACGCAGCCACTGGGGCCTTCGGTGGAGCTCCCTATGGGGCCACGAAACGTGTGAGGGGTGTGCCGAAATGGGGGGGGAACCGCACGCAGCCACTGGGGCCTTCGGTGGAGCTCCCTATGGGGCCACGAAACGTGTGAGGGGTGTGCCAAATGGGGGGTGGAACCGCATGCGGACGCAGCCACTGGGGCCTTCGGTGGAGCTCCCTATGGGGCCACGAAACGTGTGAGGGGTGTGCCGAAATGGGGGTGGAACCGCATGCGGACGCAGCCACTGGGGCCTTCGGTGGAGCTCCCTATGGGGCCACGAAGCGTGTGAGGGGTGTGCCGAAATGGGTGCGGCGCCGCCATGCGAACGCAGCCACTGGAGCCTTCGGTGGAGCTCCCT